TTTCCAAATTTTATAGTTAAAGAAGCAGACTTACAAATGTTAAATAATTTACCTAAGGTCACATAGGTCATGACTGCAGAGTGGAGCAGTTGATGTCAGGCTGAGTACTTCATGGCTTTAATTGATGTCCTGTTTATTTCTCAGAGATTATAGGGGCTAATCCCAATACTGCTTACCTCAGACACTGTCAGGGTGTAAAACATCATGGCCATCCATTGCACCTCACATGGCTCTGAACATCCATCCCTCCTGCCCCAAGGGTGGCTCAGCAGGGTTAGAATGGTTGGAGTTGCTGGACCACCACTGGGGTGAGAAGAAGCTGCCATATCTGTTTACTTTAACTTGACATATACATATGCCCATTTTCTAAATGGGCTGTGACAAGAAAAAGTTGGAAAGCTCTACTTGAATCTAATCCTCCACCTTCCCCTCTTTCTCAAAACCCTCTGGAAATCCTAATCCATGATCAGCAAACTCCCCTATATGTAGGCCACTTTCAGGCAAACAGGCTTGAGCAATGGAACGTGGAAAGGGCCCACAACTGCCACCTGACTGAGTACAGACAGGAGGAGACTCACCTCAAAATATCCAGAGGCCCTAACTAACCAATGGGCTACTTACAACTAGGCACAGTTACCAAAAAACGTAAAATTCCGTAAATTGCCATGCTTCCTCACCTTCCCTCCTTAAAAGCAGCCCCCTCCCGCTGCCTTGTTGCAGACAGCCTCTCTGCTGTCTTGCTCACCCACTACCTTGCTACCTTGTGGTGTATTCAATAAACTTCTATCTCCTTTGTTCTGCCTCAGTGAATTCTTTCACCTCCTATGCAACCTGCTTGCTTCCAACCAATCATTGCCCCACATTTGGAGACCCTCATCTAATTGAGAGACACACCATTTAGACACCACACCCTAGACCTTCAATCTGTCTTTGGAAAGTCACAGATGTAAAACCTGGCATCTCCTAAAGACAAGGCTTCCCTGTAACCCTGAAGTCACTATAAAACGACCCACCCTGGGGTGCCTGGGTGGTTCAGTCAATTAGGCATCCGACTTCAGTTCAGATCATGAGCTCACAGTTTGTGAATTCAAGCCCCGTGTTGGGCTCTGCGCTTACAGCTCAAAGCACAGAGCCTGCTTCAGGTTCTGTGTCTCCCTCTCTCTCTGCCCCACCTCTGCTTGTGCTCTTCTCTCAAAAATGAATAAACATTAAAAAAATTTTTTTAATATAATAAAAAATAAAATAAATAAAAATAAATAAAATAAAATAACCCATCCTGAGAAGTAGACTAGGATTGCAGCAAAGATGTGCCCTCCTTCTCTCCCCTGCCCCCAGCATAGCTTTTCCAGTTTTCCTCAAGAGCAAACTCTGCTGTTTTGGACCAATCTCAGATTCTGACTCAAACCATGCTTGTTAACATCCTGTTAGTAAAACCTAAATTATGGTCATTTCTAACAACTAGAAATGTGTGCACAGAGCTGAGAAGTTGAAAGCCTCATATGAGGTAAGTCAGAAACCATCAAGACCCCCACAGCTGTGGCTTCATCATCCCACTCCATTCACACTGGCCTTGGTTGTTTTACTAATCATGTTGTTGTTGTTGTTGTTTTCTGTATTTTATTAAGCTTTGACATCTTTGAAGACTAGGGTGGAATGGCCCCTCTCAGGATTAGGCAAACGACTAAACACACATTTCATATGCAAATCAACCAATCCAAAGTCAGCATCTCCAGCCATCTCTTTTATCTAACTCACACACCAAGCCAATATTCCCCCTTTCCTAAATCAGCCCAAAGTTAGGTACCAGACTACTAGGGGTCCACTCCCATAGCCTGGAGCCCTGCTATAATTATTCAAACTAGTCAATCCTCAACTTCTTACCTAGCCCCACCCATTCCTTCCGGTGTTGACTACAATAAAGGCTCTGGGCCATGCTCTTGGCTGTTCTTTCTGCCTCCTGACCAACCCTGGCACTTTCCCTGTGTACTGTGGTTCTGCATGGCATGGCATAACCCTTCCTCTTGGGAAGTGTGCATAATAAAACTCTCAATGGCTCTGAACTCTTATCAGCATTCAGTCACCTCTATAAATCCCAGGTACAATCAAAACAGTTGTCACTTCTTACTATAGCAGTTAACACATACTGTATGATATTATGCATACGATAGATAATTTCACCTTTAGAGTTTAATCTCCCTGAGAACAAGAGCCATAGTTTACTAAGCTCTGTACTATGGGTTTGCATGCCCAAGAACATACACAATCAGTGTTTACTCAAATGAAGAATCTGCCGAACAGTGGCCAATTTGTCCCTTGGCAAAGCCATTTCCCTGGGATTGTTCTTCTCTCATAGCAACAATACACAGAACATGTTGGGAAGTGGGTCTCATTTTCCACAGGGAAGAAATAAACGCCAGCCCGAAATACAAGGCATCACATGCACTGTCAAGTTCCAACAAGGAGTCCAGGCCTGGGCCATTACTGAAAGCACTTACACAAGGACAAAGCAGAAAAAGGGCTATTCAGACACTCAGTGCCATAGCTCAGGACTCTGCCTCAGTGGCACAGAAAACAAATCATGGTAGCATTCACTGGAGAATAAATCTAAATTGTTTTCAGGGGCGCCTGGGTGACTCAGTCAGTTAAGCATCCAACTCCTGGCTTCAGCTCAGGTCATGATCTCACAGTTTCATGAGTTCAAGCCCCGTGCAGAGCCTGGTTGGGACTCTCTCTCCCCCTCTCTCTGCCCCTCCCCCACTCATTCTGTCTCTGTCTCTCTCAAAATAAATAAATAAATAAATAAAAATAAATAAATATTTTTGAGCATCTAATTAGATGGGAGCAAGGGGAGGGGGACTGTATTTTGCTCCATTGTGTTAAATATATATGCTTGAATTCTGGGATTTTGACTAAAATGTCCTCTATACCTTGGGATTTCTAGTGAATAACTCGGGCTATGGAAATTTGGATAAGTAGAAACTTTCTTTAAGATTAATAAGTAATGTACAGTCCTTGGTTTTTAGGCTGGTCATCTGGTACTGACAAAAGGACATGGATGTGCAGTCTGAGGACTGGTGTTCAAGTATGGACTCTGTCATTAACTAGCTGTGTGACCCTGATAAAACTTTCACTTCTCCCAGTCTGTTTCTTTACTGTCCAATAAGAAAGAATCCTTCATAGGAAAACCACTCTGAGGATTTAATGTTATAATGTAGGTTAAAGGTGCTTCATAAACTATAAAACACTGCATAAACATCAATCATCTATTACACTATAGAGGAGTCAGGCATGAAGGCTGCCACTAGCTAATGCTCAATATTTACAGTATAAATAAGTATCTCTTGCTGGTCAGCTGTGTGATCTCAGGCAAGAAACCTGTCTCTTTCTTTTTTTCTTTTTGCCTCCTCTGATATTACTTCTCCCTTGTTCACTGGGCTCCAGCCACAGTGTTCTTTTTCCTATTCCTTCCGACAGAGCAAGTTCACTCCTGCCATAGGGGCTTTGTACCTCCTGTTCCCTCTCCCTGGAACATTCTTCACCAGTTCTTTACATGGCCTCCCACTTCTCATCAATCAGGCTTAGGTAAAATGTCATTTCTTTAGAGGCTTCTCTGACCACCCTGACTAATGTTTCTTGCACATCATTCACCCAATATATATTCGTTTTATGTTCTTAGTACTTATTACAATCTGTTGACTTATTACACTCTCCTCCAGTAGAATAAAAAACACAATACCAGAGATTCCCTTTCTGTCTTGTTCACCATTGTATTCCAATGCTCAAAACAACATCTAACTCATAATTAAACTCTCAATAAGCATTTGAATAAATGAAGTTGAAATAAGGTAATTATATCAAAAATTTCACTGACAGATATTTTATATGTACCTATGAGAACCCAGGCTCTATTTCAAGGTGCTGGAGTTCCATCTGAGAACAAAATAGACAAAAATCTCTACTTTCTAGGGGTGTGCCTACTAGTGGGGAAACAAACAAAAAAGATAAAAAGTAAAATCATACTATGTCTGATAATGTTAAGTGTTAAGAAGGAAAAAATAATAAAGCAGGAAAGAAGAACATGACATGTTTTAGATAGGGTAGCCAGAGAAAGAAGTGAAAGACTGAGCCATGAGAATATATGGGGAAAATGCAATCCAGGTGGTCAGGGTAACTGGGACAGTAATGAAGATGTCGGAGGCTAACACAGTAGGAGATAAAATCAGGGAGGTTAAAGAAAGTCAGACTGTATAGGGTCTTTTGGCTAAACTAAGGACTTTCTTTGGCTTTTATCAAGAGTAGGATAGGAAAGTGTTGGAAAATATGAGCATCAGGGTATCATGACATGGTTTGCTATGAGGACTGCTAGGGCTGTTGTGCTGAGAATATCTGAAGGGCAAGGGAAAGGACTAGTGAAGATGCCACAATAACCTTGCCAAGAGATGGTGGCTCCTGAAAGACTAGGGGAGGATCTATGGGGATGGAAGATAAAATTTCAGGTTTGACAGTTGCATTGAGAGTTTAAGGGGAGGGGGGGGTGGGGTCTGGGCTAGGAGTTAGAAGTTGAAACTCAACTGGTATTTATTACGGAGATGGAGTCCTAGCTCTACTACATTCTGGTGGCAAACTTGAGTAAACTTTTTTTAGGTTCTAGGCCTCAGTTTCCCTAACAGTAAAACGGAGAAAATATTCCCACGTAACAGGGCCTTCAAGAGAACTATTTCGAAGTGTCAAAGGCTGATGGTGAGCAAGGTGAGAACCTGCACGAACCTGTATCAGAGTAAGGGGGCTACTGTGAAACCAGCGACTAACTTTCAGCTCCACGGAACACGCTCCGAGGCTCACCAGCGATCAAAGGGAAGCACCAAGGCCCGCATTGCAACGCGGGCTGCAGCTCCCAAACCTCGCGAGACTTGTTGGCCCGGCAAAGTCACCCTCCTACCCACATCTCGCGAGACCAAGGTTTATGAGCGGCTATCTGCCGGTTACGGCTTGCAGGAAAGATGGAGTATACTGCGTTGGGCACCGTGCAGGCCGCGGACAGCGGAGGGGCCCTGCCATACAACAGCTCGGAGGAGCGAGAAGGCCGGGAACCGGACGGACTGCGCTTCGACCGCGAGAGGGCGCGCCGCCTGTGGGAAGCAGTGTCCGGGGCCCAACCAGTGGGGAGGGAGGAAGGTGAGTCCGAGGACCTCAGAGGCAGTAAGTCCCTCGCCCACCCACTCGTTTCGCTGGGAGCGGAGGAAGCGCGGGTTGGGAATGCGGGCCTGCCCCCGGGTCTCTGGTCACACCCCCTGGCGCCCGGCCCGCCCCCTTGCGTGACGCGCCCGGGACTCCTTGACTCGTACAGCCCAGCAGGGCCTGGGTACCGTGGGCCAGCTCCACGGAAAATTGAGGCCGCCGCACCCAGCAAATGAGGTCTCCGCTCTCCAGTAGTCAAGGGCCTTCTCATGCTCACACCGTTGGGGGTGGGGGCTCCCCCGCCTTTCTCATCCACCAGAGCGCAGCTCTTCCCTAAACTCGAGGACTGTAATTCCTATCCGTGCCTTCCCGGAGACCCACAGAACCTTCTCCGCCAGACTGCTATCCCCCCACCATTTTCCCCTGACTCTCCATTGTCCCAGTCTCCAAGTTCCCCCACCCCTAGTGTATCTTGCCTCCCTTCTCTCATGCCCCACACTTGCAAGAACTCCAGAAGGCCTTCTTACCCCATGTTCTTCCTGGCCTTGGTGACTGAACCTGGTTTATCCCTGTTTCTATTTGTCGAGTTTCTACTACCTGGGTCCTTTTTATGCGATGGGGGCCAGGAGCCTGAAAAACTGGCCAGAGTATACTTTGGGTCCAACTTCTTTGTATCCTAGGCTTGTCCCGAAGTTGTGAAGAACAGGGTACACTGGGGGGCACTTCTGGGCTGAAGCTTCCTAGCTTGCTCTGCATTTGACCTGGCACTGGGTAAGATGGAGATAGAGGAGGATGGAAAGGGCTGGCCTGACCTGGTTGCGTGACTCCCTTCATGGTCCTTACCACTAGCTGCTTAACTCCAGTCCAGAAGTACAAGAACCGTCTGGCCTTCTGTGCTAATCCTGTCAAGTAATCTCGGAAATCAGAAGGTTTGTTTGTTTGCTGAGCAGACTAATCATGGAAAGTTTAATATGTTGCTTGTGAACTGATTGCCCTGGGATAAAATGGACTTTTTGACCACATCCAAAGAAGATATGTTTAAATTTGGGGTCTGTGGTACATAGACCGATACCCTTGTATGTACTTCTCCAGTTTGAAAACTAGTCTAGTCTGACTCCTACTAAATTAATATGGGCCTTCTGTCTCCCTCATAATTTCAAACTTATTTGGTACAAATCCCCCCAAACGCACCCCAATTTTCCTTTCACTAATTTGACAATCATTGATGTATGCTCAGTTCCTAGGACTGGCTGGGCATCAGAACTACAGAGATGAGGAAGATACTGTCCTTCCCCCTGGGAGGGGTTTATAGTCTAGTCCAGGAAGCAGACACCAAAACAGTTTCAGTATAATGTAATGGGTGCAGTAAAGAGGAATGTGTAAGAATTGGTCGTGCACAAAGAGGAAGTGACCTTTGTCCTTGAGGGACAGGGAAGGCATCTGCTGGACCTTGAAGCAGAGAACACAGCAGCTGTGCTCTAAAAAGTGAATTGCTTATGTGTGTATGAATGTACAATGTCACTTAGGACCCAGTTCATTTCCCTACTGTCCTCACTTTCCAGTATTTATATGAGGTCTAGATAGATACCTGTAACACCAGGTTCTACTCATCTTGGTTTTTGTTTTGTTTTTCTCTTAGCACTTTTATTGAGTTATAATTTATATACCATAAAATTCACCCATTCTAACTGTACAATGCAATGATTTTTTGCTAAAAGTATAGAGTTGTGTAGCCACAATTCTGTTTTTGAATATTTCCGTCACTCCAGTTAGTTCCTTTCTGCTTCTTTACATTAAATCTCCACTCTTACCTCCTGCCCTGGGCTACCACTGTCTCTAAAATTTGCCTTTTCTGAACATTTCATATAAATAAAATCATACAATATGAATGCATTTGGCTTCTCTCAGCATGTTTTTGAGGTTCAGCCACGTTGTACCGTGCATTCATTATGTGCTTCATTATGTTTTGTTGCTAATAGAATCCCATTGTATAGATCTTGCTTTTTATCCTTTGACAGTCTCTGGCTTTTGAGTGGGCTGTTTAGACTGTTTGCATTTAATTTAATTATTGATAATGGCTAGATTTACATTTTCTATTTTGCTATTTATCTCCTTTTCATTTTGTTCTTCCTTTTCTCCTTTACTGACTTCCTTTGTGGTTAGTATTTTTTAGTGGACCATTTTACTTCCTCTGTCAATTTTTTATACTTTTTTTTTTAATGTATTTATTTTTGAGAAAGAGAGCACAAGCAGAGAAGGGGCAGAGTGAGAAGGAGACAGGATCTGAAGCAGGCTTTGTGCTGATAGCAGAGCCCAGTGTGGGGCTCAAATCCATGAACCGTGAGATTGTGACCTAAGCTGAAGTCAGACTCTCAACCAAGACACCCAGGTGCTCTTTTTTTTTTTTTTTTCTTACTTTTTAATTGTATTTTCTTAGTGTTCGAGGGACTATATGATGCATCTTAACTCATCACAGTCTACTTCAAATTAATACTAACTTAAATCTGATAAAATGTATAAAAACATTCCTCTAATAGTGCTCCATTCCTCACCCTCCTTTGTACTATTATTGTCATATTTGTTACATTGATATATGTTATAAACCTAATTATTCAGTGTCATAATTATTGATTTATACAACATCTCTTCTAAAGAAGTGAAGAGAAGTTATTAAAAAAAGTATATTTGTGGGGCACCTGGGTGGCTCAGTCAGTTAACCCTCCGACTTCAGCTCAGGTCATGATCTCACAGTTTGTGGATTTGAGTGCCTCATCTGGCTCTGTGCTGACAGCTCAGAGCCTGGAGCCTGCTTTGGATTCTGTGTCTCCCTCTTTATCTACCCCTCCCCTACTCACACTCTGTCTCTCTCTCTCTTTAAAAAAAAACATTAAAAAATTTTTTGGGGTGGGCACCTGGATGGCTCAGTCAGTTAAGCATCCAACTTCAGCTCCAGGTCGTGAACTCGCGTTTCGTGAATTCAAGTGCCGTGTTGGACTCTGTGCTGACAGCCAGAGCCTGGAGCCTGCTTCAGATTCTGTGTCTCCCTCTGTCTCTGCCTCTACCCTTCCCCTATACTCTGTCTCTCTCTTTCTTAAAAGTAAATAAAGATTAAAAAATTTTTCTATTGATTTTATTTATTGATTTTATTTAAAGATTTAAAAAATATTAAAAAAATATTTGTAATGTATTTTATATTAGCATACATATTTACCATTTCTGGTGTTCTTTTTTCTTCATCTGGATTCATTACCACTTACTACCACTTCCTTTCAGCTAGCAGGGCTTTCTTTAGTATTTCTTGCAAAGCAAACCTGCTAACAGTGAATTCTCTGAGTCTTTATCTGAGAATGTCTTTATTGTGTTTTCAGTCTTAAAGTATATATATATATTTTTTTTTATTATTAAAAAAATGTTTTTAATGTTTATTTATTTTTGGGGGGGGGGGGAGACAGAGTGTGAGCAGGGGAGGGGCAGAGAGAGAGGGAGACACAGAATCTGAAGCAGGTTCCAGGCTCTGAGCTGTCAGCACAGACCCCGACACCAGACTCAAACTCACGAACCGCGAGATCATGACCTGAGCCAAAGTCGGACGCTCAGCCAACTGAGCCGCCCAGGTGCCCCAAAGTATATATTTTTTAAAATAACATCTTTATTGATACATAATTCATATACCATAAAATGCATCTTTGTAAAATATATAATTTAGTGGTTTTTAGTATATTCACAGAATTGTACAACCATCACCACTATCTAATTTTAGAACATTTTCATCACCCCGGAAAGAAACCCTACACCCATTAGCAGTCACCTCTGACAATTGTTTATCTCCTTTCTGTTTCTATAGATTTGCTTATTCTGGATGTTTCATGTAAATTGAATTGTATAATATGTGGCCTTTTGTGACTGGCTTCTGTCACTTAGCATACTGTTTGAAGGATAGTTTTACTGGACATGGAATTATTAGTTGACAGTGTTGATCTTTCTCACTACTTTGAATATGTTATTCCACTGCTCTCTGGCTTTCATTGTTACAGATAAGAAGTAAGTCATTAATCAAATTATTCCACTGTACAGGATGAGTCATCTTTCTCTTGCTGCTTTAAAGAGTTTCTATCTTCCAGTAGCTTGACTATGATGTATCTAGGTGTAGATCTCTTGGTATTTATCATATTTTGAGTACCTTGAGGCTTTTAGCTGTATGGATTAATGTTTTTCTTTGATCAAATATGGGAAGTTTTCAGACATTGTTTCTTCAAACGTGGGGTTTTTTCCTATTCCTTTCTCTTCTTCTGAGACTCCCCATATATATGTTTGGTATGTATTTGTTTGGTATGCTTGATGTATCCCACATGTATCTGTGGCTCTGTTCATTATCAATTTTCTTTTTCTCTTTTCTTCAGTTTGAGTATTTCTGTTGATTTATCTGCAAGTTCACTGATTCTTCTGCTACTTAGAAACTGATACTGATTTTTTCTAGTGTTTTTTTCATTTCATTTATTGTGCTTTCAGCTCAACTCTGTGTTATACGTATTTTAAGTAGAAAACTTTTTAACACCACATTATCAATGCCATTACATTTGTTTTCTTCATGCCTTTTTTGATAATAAAATTTGAGTTTTTACACACCATCAACAGTATGGATTCACAAAATAGATAGAAGTGCTGAAGCTAAATAACCTTAACGGGGCTAATGTCCAATTCATTCTTGTAGACCACCCTGCCTGTTAGACTACACTGCCTAAACAGTCTGACCCACTGGTAGATTATGTCCAGCTTGCTTTTACTAGGATTTTTTGTTGTTTACTGCTTTCTAACTATAGCTGTACCTAGAAATCCACTACCTCCTAATAAGCAATAAGAAGCAGGGTTCTAAATAGGTTATATCTATCCCTGAGAACCAACTTCAGACAACTGATGAATTTCTGTGGAGCTGAGTTGAGATTCTAAGGCCCAAGGAATAGCAAGTCATGGGGCGCCTGGGTGGCTCATTTGGTTAA